ACAATTCAAGGCGGCAACAAGGGGATTCCACCGGGAGAATACAAGTCAACAAGGCAACAAGAATCACAAGAGCAAGTTTGAAGAAATAGATAGGATTTTGTAATACATAGATCATAGTATAGTCTAGCTTCTTTTTATTTTATCCTGGTGTAATGAGGGGTTCAGTAAGCAGTAGCAACAGCAACAACAACAGTGAAATCACAGCTTCATGGTAGTCCCAGCTACTAAACATTCCTGAACTACACTAACCGGATTCCTTTTTAGCCAAGGATATGTAGGCAACCTCGGAAGTAGGGTGCGGTCAAATCTTTCANCAAGTTCAGCAATCAGGCGTCCACCTGAAGAACAAGGGAATACATTTCAAATTCAGCAATCAGGCGCCCACCTGAAGGAAAAGGGAATACGTTTCAAGTTCAGTAATCAGGCGTCCACCTGGAGAAAGGGAAAACATCTCAGATTACAATTCAAGGCGGCAACAAGGGGATTCCACCGGGAGAATACAAGTCAACAAGGCAACAAGAATCACAAGAGCAAGTTTGAAGAAATAGATAGGATTTTGTAATACATAGATCATAGTATAGTCTAGCTTCTTTTTATTTTATCCTGGTGTAATGAGGGGTTCAGTAAGCAGTAGCAACAGCAACAACAACAGTGAAATCACAGCTTCATGGTAGTCCCAGCTACTAAACATTCCTGAACTACACTAACCGGATTCCTTTTTAGCCAAGGATATGTAGGCAACCTCGGAAGTAGGGTGCGGTCAAATCTTTCAAAAATGTTTCCCACGGAGTATTCAAACGGGCAAAAATCGCTCGTATCCGCTCACTTTATCTTTGCACGAAAACTCTTCGTGTTTCCGGGCAAAAAGGGGCAGCTGTGAGCACGTGATTTTTGCCCTATATGAATTATTCCCATAAATTCAAGAAAAATAAATTTTTTTCCGTTATTTGCAATTTCGTAGATTTTCGTAGCATTTTTGTTATTGTTTGCACTTTGTTTGTGCATTTTAATTAGTGAAAAATACAAAAAATGTGTTGCATTAGCATTTAGGATCTATTTTCACATTTTTTAGGTTAATTATTAAATTAGGTGCTTTATTAAAAAAAATAAAAATCACAAGATTGGTATTTTGAATCTCTAGCCTTTTAATTATAAATCAATAATTTTTCCCTTTAATTTAGAAGTAATAGGTTTTAGCTTAATTTAGTAATTTAATTACTTTTAGGAGTTTTTAATTTAAGTTTTAATTAAAAAAAAGAAAGGAAAAAAAAACAACCAAAAAGAAAAGGAATTAAAAAATAATTTTTGGAAAAGGGAAAAGGAAAGAAACTAATTTGGGCCAAAGTCCAAACAAATTCCCAGCCCAAATCTAACATCATCAGCCTACCCGCCCCGATTACACCTAGACCTGCGCCTGTTCCCTAAACCCGACCCGCTCCACAAATACATACACCAATACACGCAGATAAGACCCAACAAATCGGAATCCCTAACTCCACGTGCACTGTTCATCCTCTTCTTCGCAAAGCCACGTTTCAACTCGCCAAATCCATGGCGAGTGAATCCAAACCCACAACCACGCGTTCCTCCTTCTCTCCTCTTGCCATTTCAGAATTTTTTTATTATTTTAAAATAAAAATAAAAATAAAATAATAGTAATAGTAATAATTCACCTTTTAAAATTTGGTATTTTTACCCTATAATAAAAAGTGTAACAAAGCTAAAAATTGTAGGTTAAAACTCCTAAAATATTTACATAGAATAAGTGATAAAAAGTTAAATATTGTCAAAAATTAGGTGCACATAAGGATGATACGAACCTCTCTGGATTATTTAATTTCCATGAAAATCGATCATTGTATGGATATTCTTTTTGAAGTACTTGATTATCAAGAAGAACATCTATTGACCACGACATTATTTTATGCTTTGATCTCTTTGTGAATATCCCGAGATTTATGGGATTTTTTAGACCCATATTTAAGAGAATATGTATCCCTTTATATAGGTGTGTGTTAGGGTTTAGGGTAGAGTAACCTCCAAGAAATCCTGGTAGTCTCCTAGGATTTCAAGAGTCTGGTAGTATCTTGAATTTAGGATTTAACTTGATCCTTTAGAATTACGATGTCTATAAATGCCCCCTACTTCAAGGTTTATCGGGGTGTAGGCTTGCCGAAACTTGAAGACGAGACTTGAAGTACTCGACCGTTGCAACAAATAATTTTGAAACTTGGAATTTTCGATTTACAGGAGGAAGAGATGAAGGGCAGAACTGGTCCCACTGGGCGTGCCAATTTGGTTGCGACAAATTTTTTGTGATACGAAAAATAAACTGCAATCACAATATGGATATGAAGAAATATAATTTTATTAATAAACAATGCGGGTACAATTCTGTTTGTTCCCTTGATTCTTCTCTCCTGATTATCTCCATGATTCGAGGGCTGGAGTAGCTTATTTCTCGAATGTAGGATGATGCATACCTCATTGGATGTATCTGATATCCATGAAAGTATGTTGTGACCCTTCTTGAAGTATTTGATAATCAAGAATTATCCGGCCATATATTGATCTCTTTATGAGTATCCCGTAAGTTTATGGGATATTGATGATCTCCATTTTTGAAATCCCTTTTTAAGAGAATACATGACTCTTTTTATAAGAGTGACCTAGGGCTGAGATAGAGTAGTCTCCAAGATATGGTTTTGGTAGAGTAGCCTCCAAGCAACCCTAATAGACTCCTACGAGTTCAAGAGTCATCTTGCAGTAGTGTCTTGAATTTAGGATTTAGCTTGATATGTTAAAATTTTGGTGTCTATAAATGCCCATTCTTCAAGATTTATCGAAGGTGTAGGTTTGTCGAAACTTGAAGACGAGACTTGAAGTACCCGACCAGATAATTTTGATTGATTTGCTGGAGGAAGAGATGAAGGGCAGAACTGGTCCCACCGGGAGTGCCAATTTGTTTGCAACAAATTATATGTGATACAAAAATAAATTGCAACTACAATATGAGTATGAAGAAACATAGTTTTATTGATAAAATGATGCGAGTACAATTCTGTTTGTTCCCTTGATTCTTCCTCTGAATTGTTCTTCGTGATTCGAGGGTTGGATCAGTGTATTCTCGAACGTAGTATGATACGGACCTCTCTGGATTATTTAATTTCCATGAAAGTCGATCATTGTATGGATATTCTTCTTGAAGTACTTGATTATCAAGAAGAACATCTATTGACCGCGACATTATTTTATGCCTTGATCCTTTTGTGAATATCCGAGATTTATGGGATTTTTTAGACCCCTCTTTAAGGGAATATGTATCCCTTTATATAGGTGTGCGTTAGGGTTTAGGGTAGAGTAACCTCCAAAAAACCCTGGTAGACTCCTAGGATTTCAAGAGTCCTGTAGTATCTTGAATTTAGGATTTAACTTGATCCTTTAGAATTTCGATGTCTACAAATGCCTCCTACTTCAAGATTTATCGGGGTGTAGGCTTGCCGAAACTTGAAGACGAGACTTTAAGTATTCGACCATCGCAACAAATGATTTTGAAACTTGAAGTTTTCGATTTACAGGAGGAAGAGATGAAGGGCAAAACTGGTCCCACTTGGCGTGCCAATTTGGTTGCAACAAATTTTTCGTGATACGAAAAATAAACTGCAATCACAATATGAATATGAAGAAACATAATTTTATTGATAAATAATGCGGGTACAATTATGTTTGTTCCCTTGATTCTTCTCTCCTTATTATCTCCATGATTCAAGGGCTGGAGTAGCTTGTTTCTCGAACGTAGAATGATGCATACCTCCTTGGATGTATCTGATATCCATGAAAGTATGTTGTGGCCCTTCTTGAAGTATTTGATTATCAAGAATTATCCAGCCACATATTGATCTCTTTATGAGTATCCCGTAAGTTTATGGGATATTAATGATCTCCATTTTTGAGACCCCTTTTTAAGAGAATACATACCCCTTTTTATAGAAGTGACCTAGGGCTAAGGTAGGGTAGCTCCAAGATATGATTTTGATAGAATAGCCTCCAAACAACCCTAATAAACTCCTAGGATTTCTAGAGTCATCTTGCAGTAGTGTCTTAAATTTAAGATTTAGCTTGATCTGTTAAAATTTTGGTGTCTACAACTTTATCCACCAAGATAATTCTTTTAATAACTTGTTGCAACATTATTACTATTTGGAGTCTAAACATTGATAACTTGTCTTCAAACATTTTTTAGAATACTCTCTACTAATAAAAAGGTTGAAAATTTTAGTTTTTCAAATACTAGAAAAGGAAGCCCGTGCTCACCAAAGTAGTCTGAATTTAGAGTCGAAAACTGATTAAAAATTGATCAACTCTCAATATGCGGAGACTCCAATATCTTTGTAAGGGGATAATGTCATTTATGTTCTTGTTGAGTCAAATAAAAAATATTTTTTGCAACCTCATACATGTAATTTTTGTGCCTATGTGAATCACAAGCTCTCAATGTAGCTTTCAGGAAGTGTGAAGCTGAAAATTGAAATAAAGTAGGAATATCACCGCTCACATAGAGGCAGAACGTAATAGCTTAGAACAGCAGACGATAGGATAGTCACCATTTTCCTCATGCTGCCTAAATTTAATCTTGAATAAAATTTGCCTCTTCTTCATCAGACAACATGAAACTCAATTGGGCAACCGTGCAGCCACAATCTCAGTCCCACCACGCTTATTCCATCTTTATCCAAGCAAAGTTGGGGATTTATGCTACATGCAGATAAAAGAATCAAACACTACGATTAAACCTTCGTCACATATTCATGTATATTTTCTCAGCAGAAGTTATATCTTACATTGGAAAAATTCAACCGTAGGAGCAGACTAAGGAACATCATAACCATATCTTGCAGACAGACTTTGTATTAAAAAAATCTCCAGGTGAAACATAGCAACATTCAGTTTCTAAAAATCAAAATTTACTGTGGGATGTCAGCCACAAATAATCCTGAAAACACAAAAAGCACATGCTCCTCCCAATAGCATTCGCTCATGCATAATGTCGTCCACAATGCTGATAGAATTTTAGGTCAATCTAATTTTACTTTGGGTTAATCATTCTTTTCCTGCTTCCCTTTTCTTTGTTCTTTATAGTCGAGAATATCTACTATAGAAAATAATGGCATGATATCACAACCAAAACATAGCTCATGGGTACATAACCTATTAAAATTGAAATCTCATCTAAGTAAATCACGAAAAAATGGTCGGATATTTTTGGAATAACCAAAGTACATTCTTTTTTATCGTAAATTTTATTAGATTTCCCTGAAAGGACTTTTTGATTGTTAATAACCATAAATATTCTAAAACAACATTGCCCTTCCTATTAGTCGCACCAACAAAATTGTAAATTCACTTAGCCATTCATCATGAAGTGTTTCAAAATGTATAAGTTTATTCGGTTTTTCATCTTAATTATAGTCTATAACAACTGATTAAAGCAAATTTGTGTCAAACACATATACCACAGGAGGAGAAAAACAATAATGCTTATCATAGACCCACTAATATTTTGAAGAAAGACCATAGGAATGTCCGTACATAATTCAATAAAATGTGCACCTTTTAGCAGATTCATTGAATAGTAGCCCATTATTTCTAAGGATCCCTGCAGGCTGAACATGTTCTTCTGAAACTTACAATTGCCTATATGTATCAATGAGGATTCTTAGAAAACAAATAAATGAAAAATACAAACAAATGAGAAACAATGTTGCTTGTTAAGGAATAAAAGGGTCTTATAACGCCATTCAATTTCTTGGATTCATCAAATTCACTTCATCAACTATGCGAGCAACAACTTATCAAACATCAAGATAGCGTTGATACACCATACAGTAAATAGGCCAAACATACTGTGGGCATTGGCCAGTGATACTCAGTTGGACATGAGAAAAGTGATCCGTCGAAGGCTAAATAGAAAAGATTTTAAGTTGTATATACAATTAATGTAAGAGAATTTTTCACATCATGTTAGTTTTATCTTATTTTCAATATTACAAATTCCACATTTTAAGGAGACTTACTTTTAAATATATCTATTGAATAACCTAATAGTATAAAAAGGCTTAAACTAATAGCATACATAACTTAAATTCTATAGAAAAATAAGCTCAGAAAACTCAACCTATACATAATCAGTACATAAAAGGAATCAACAAAGAAGAGACAAACTTCAATAAGGATCAAATTTCAGCTCGAAACACAAACACCCATTTGCAATACTCACATCAACTATCAACACAAAAATACAGTTATTAAATTTGACAAAAAATCAAATTTTAACCCAAAAAAATACTTGCAAAAAAAATGAAGCAGATATAGTATAAAACAGAACAAGAAAATTACACTCAATCGAAAAACAAAAAGTACCTTAACATAAACCACCATGAAAACCCAAAAGCTTCTGAAAACAGAGAGCAAGAGAGAGTGATTTAGATAGAGAAATGAAGAGAGAAGATGAAATTTTCTGTGAAAATCTACAGAAAATAGTTAAGACTTAACAGTGAAACTCTCTGGTTCTGTCTTTCTTTTCATAAACCCAAAAACAGAGTTGCAAATTTTCATATGTATTCTCAATAGTAATAGTATTTTTTATCAAAAGATGATTCAAAGAAAATCACTTAATTAGGGCTTTATTATTAGTACTTATGGCAAAAATGATAAAATCTAGTGGTCTACTGGATGAGCGGCGGCCCTTCCATAAAGCAAGTAAAGCAACCGCTTTAGGCTCCACATTTGTGGAGGCCCCATTTTATGTTACATCTAATAGACTATGTATAAGTTTCAAAAAAGGTTCTGTGGAAAAAAGTTTGATTTCTTTCTTTAACAAATATAGAGAAGAAGGATTTGCAACTGCTATGATTTCTACCAAGGAAATTGCACTTGAAATGAATATCGAACCCGAATTTCGTAAGAAACGTGTGATATATAGGAAGTAACAATTTGATGTGAATGTTGATAAAGAAATCTCAAAATCTTTCGAAGGGTCCTTTAGAGTTGATTACTTTTATACATAATAGATAATGCTATTTTTTCACTTCAAAATAGATTTGAACAATTCAAAGCATATGAAAATATTTTTGGCTTTCTAGTTGGCAATAAAAATTAAAATCACTAGATGTTGGAAATTTGAAAAAATATTTTCTTAATCTTGAATGTTCCTTAAAGCATAATAATCAATTCGATATTGATGGTTTAAATTTATTTTCTAAATTAAGAGTATTAAGAAAAATAGTACAATTAGAAGATTACAGTTTAATTGATACACTTAATCAAATAAAAAGATTTAATTCTTTTTCAAATACCTAAATTTCTTATAGAATAATGTTAATAACTCATGTTACCGTTGCTTGGAAAGAAGTTTTCAAAATTAAAATTGATAAAATCTTACCTAAGAACAACAATGTCACAAGAAAGGTTAAATGGATTAGCTATATTGTCAGTTGAGAAATACTTATTAGGAGTTACTGATTATAAGAAAACCATTAATAACTTTGCATCTAAGAAAAGCTAAAAAAAAATAGACTTGAAATAAATAATAATAAAAAAAAAAAGTTAAGGCCCCTTAAAAAGTTTGTCTTTAGGCCACAAAATTCGTCGGGCCGCCCCTGTGGATGAGTTAAGCCATTGATCACGTTAAAGGTCAAGGATGAAAACATAAGCGAGCATTTCTATTCCTCTTTTGTTATCTACTAAGAAAAATATGAATAACTTACCATAGCAGCACACTCAATTTTTCTATTTGCTGGGTGCTGGGTCCAAAGATACCTCTGTGAGTAACATGAACATCAGATATGCAGCTGTAAAGCTATGAATTACAGTAAATTTCATGTGATGAGATAGTTATATAGCTAACAACATAAGGTAGGTTTTAACAAATATTGCACGAAAAAAATGAAGTATATTTGCTTCCCAATTCTATTACCACAAACCTAGTTTACAATATTTTAGCAGCGAAATTAAAATTAGCTTAAAAGAACCAATCAAAACTTAACTCAGTTATCACAAAAAGCAGAAATGCTTAAGTTGGCAGTTCCTCCAACTATAATTCCAAACATATGTTTACACGTTTATCACACAAAATACACATACAAAATACTCATAAAAAAAGGTCTTTTAAATAAAAAACATATTACACGTTCTTTCTCCCATTGAACATAGAATTTCAGGAATTTACTGATGGCATCGCATGATATACCCTTCATCGAATTTGGTCTACTGAACAGTATTGTTAAAAGGTATAGTAGGCGAATCGTGTGGATATAAAGAAATTAATTTTATTAACCTACACTATAGAGAATCTTGAAGTGCTAGAATTATTAATTATACTAACCTATGTTGTCAATTTTAATTTCTTTGGGTGCCTAACATAGCCATATATTGGTTGCCTGGATCCAACAGAAAGGAAAGAATTAAGAACATGCAAGATAAAAGGCATCACTGGGGAGAATACTAATATATGTTGAATCCAAACGAATGAAGAACATAAGTTGTTTTAATTAAGACTAACCAAGCCATGAGTATGTTAATAGTTTCAAACATAATTTATCTGAATGTAGTCAAAGGAAGGCACATTTTTTTTAATTAGAAGCATCACAATGATATTTAGACTCTCACGTTTTCTGGTGCAAAGGTTTTCAGAACCAGCTCGGAAATACACTGCCTAGCAAAAGGAGATACTTATATAAACTGAAAAATAAAAAATGTAATTGTTGTAGAAGAATGCAGTTTCACAATATGCTATGAGCTGCAGGAGTTCAGAAAAATTGCAAACAAAGATGCTGAGAAAATCCAAAATGAAGAGAAAGAAAAGAAAGATGAACTTGAGAGAAAACAACAAATCAAATAAAAAGTAGTACTCACTAAATAAGACTTCAACGTTAACCTCAATGCTTCAAAATGAATAAATTTTTTACTAAATAGTTCCTCAAGGTCACTCTGGAGCATATAGCACTATTTAGAATGATATCTGGTGCAATTATTTTTTTCTTGTGACATACAATTCATCGGTAATACTTCGATTGCCAATGAGGTCATTCTTGCGCTTTTAAGTAACAACTTATTCTTTCAATTATCTTAGTTATAAGGCCCGAAAGTAAATTGGCTAAATTTGGTAAGAATTACATTAAATTATTTTGTATTTTCTTTACCTATTTTAACTTTTAAAAGGAGTAAATACAAAATAGCCGTCTGAATAGTTCCAATTCAAAAAACAATAGTCGTCTGAATAGTCTATTAAATGTAATGTTTCACTACCAAAAATCACAAGTGAGGGACAATAGAAAGAAACAAATACTAATGTCTTTCCTTAATTCTGTTGTTAACCAATTCAGAGATACTTTTGTGTGCCATTCTTTCAGTTATAATCCTATACATATCTGCTTACACGCTCGTCATATAAATATACAGATTACTCAAAAAGTTGCTTCTTTAAATTAAAACTTGTTACATATTCTATCTAGCTCCCAACAAACAGAGAATTTAAGGAATTCACCAATGGCGTCCAGTGATCTACTTTTCATCTAACTCACCTTGATTTCCATCGGCCTTGTTGCCAGAAAGCCCTATTGTTTCTTGTTTTTAGTTAAATCTTCAAATTTAGAATAAACTGCTCTGTTGTAGGCTTTTAGATAAAAATCTAAGGTAACTCGCCTTTTGCCAACTCCAATGTATAAATAAATGAAAAGGTAACCAAAATAATTGGAAGAACATAAGTTTATTTCTGACCTTTGGTAATTTTGTTCACAGAGCCTTCATCTATTCACATTGAGTTCTTCTTAATACCATTGACTGCTATAAAATTGAAACACTGGTGACCGCATAATTTTTGTTTACAGAGCCCTTCTGTATTCTATTTGAGTAGTTCGTAATACTATTTACTGCTAAGAGATAGACACAAAATAGTCGTCAAAGAGTACATGCATGTGTATTGTAAACACAAAGAAAATGCTATAATAGCCTTCAACAAATTCATTTTTTACCTACAGGATTAGGGGTTATGTAGGACGAAGGAGAAAACGCCAAGATTGCCAATACAATATCCAAAGCAAGCAGGAAATCTTACTTGTTCCCCACACGACAGCACTGGTTACACACGAAATAGTCAAGTGAGCATATGCATGAGCAGAATCCCTTAACGAAAGACCCAAAGCCGTGGGAATTTAGTTGCTCAATCATAATAGATCCTCTCTGAAGCCTATGAAATGGAAACTTAACTTTCACTCTCGGTCGTCTTCTTCAAATGCAGGTACAGAATCAATTAACCGAAGAGCCAAAGCCACAAGATTGTAAAATAAAAAATAGATAGAATTCATGAAACAAATCTGGACATCAAAAAGAGGAGAAAGCTGAAATATATTAATCAAGAGAAGCCGAGAAGAACTGCAAAACAAACCCAAATGACTCTTCTTGAAGTGGGGAGATAGGAAAAAAAATTATATACAGAGAGTGGTGAATGAGAGAAATATTTAAGACACATGGTTTGATAAAATAAAGATGGAGTAGGCGTGTTAATATTTCTCAATGATGTATGTCCTAATATTAAGTATAATTTACAATGCATTTCATACAACTCAGGATTGCGGTGTTGTACACCCCAACTCCCACTTCACATCAAACTGTTGGCACTAAAAATCCTAAAGAGACCCATTTAGAGAAGATGAGAAGTTTGGGCAAATTATGAATTGCACTATTAGTTGTTGGAGAAATTAGAGTTAGAAAGATATGGCCAATAAATAAAACAGAAGAAAAATGAAAGAACATTTGAAGAGGAGCGCACGTAGGTGTGATCAAGAAAACAGTATGCATCAACTTTTTGCAAAGAAAATTGGTAACAGATATAAGTGTGTGAGAGAGCGAGAGGCAGAGGTGCAAAAAGATCAAGACTAAATTTACAGGTGCCAACTACGGTAAATTAACTTTCACTATTCACGTCAAGACATAGAGAACACAAAATCCCTAAATTTCACATTGAAAACTGAAATATAGACATGGCTATAAAACAGAGAAAATCGAAAATTCACCTATGAAATCCACTAAAAACAAAGGAAAAAAGAAAGAGGAAGAAGAAGAATGTCGGAGAGCTGAGCGAAGTAACAAAAAAATTCTCCTCTCAGATTCAGCAGCTTCCTATGAGAATTGAGCGATTAGGGGCAAAATCAGTATAGGCAGAGAATTGAGAACTGGGCTCATTTATGGAAGAGCTAATGAAGAAGACTGTCAGAATATGTAGGAGTTCGATATTAACGAAGGAACAAATGTAACTACCGTTAAACCCCCATATAGCAACGCTTCTGTCATAAAGGATAGGGGCAAAATTGAGAAAACACAAGCAGAATTATTTTTGACATCTCAAATTTACCCTTGTTCGTACCATGTTTGTACACCCAACTCTCATTTCTAAATAATAGTAATAGTAAAGTAACATAAATTTTAATAAGTACTGTACAACTTATGTAGCTTTTATGTCAAAATATTGAGTAAACAATGGGCAAAGTGAGTTGGAGACTTTTCCCTTTGTACTCATCTTTTTGGAGTGGATTACCCCCTGTTTCCAAAGTATCAGATTTTTCTCCTCTCTTTTTTTAGCATTCAACCAAACGTCAACCATAGTGATATGAGATGATGGAACAACAAATTATGTGTTCTTTATGGTCTCACCAAACTGAGCAAACAAATTTGTAGTGGACGATGAGATGCGCATGAAAACAATAGAACAAACAGGAAGTGCCAATTGAGTGACACAATTATACTGTACAATTATTTGCTTACCTTTAAAGATAATAACTTCAGCATATATCATCTTGAAGAACATATTAGATATAGTTTTCCAATGAGTATTACTTGTAAAAGGTTACTAGGTAGTTGAGTTTGGGACATCGTAAATGTTTTGTGTTTTTCATATCAATAGTATTATTATTATTATCATTCTCGTATTATTCTATTACTACATGTTGTTTTCCTTGTGTCGGTTTTCTTATTGCTTTGTTATTTTATCGTTGTCACTGTTCTTGTATTCATTATTTTCAACATGACTGCTTCATTACTGTATTTGTTTTTCAAACCTGATGTAAATTGTTTCGCTTGAGCAAAGGGTCTCTCGGAAATAACCTCTCTACCTCCACTAGGTATTATCCTCCTCAGACCCCACGGTGTGAAAATATACTGTGATGTTGTTATTGAGTATTACTTGTATTAACTATAAAGTACTAGACTTCTGCACGTGGGTTCTATTAATCCAAACATATTTGTTAATGATGGAAAGAAAAGAAATCGACTGACAAAATGAGTTACATAACAACTTTTTACTTAAAATTACTAAATCAACAGATTATTTCTTTTACTCTTTATTACTCGAAACCAACCAACCCTTAATATACCTTCTTTTTTTATTTCCTGTTACAGCTTACTCTCCTTTTTGGCATTTGACAACAAAAAGAAATAAAAATGTTATCTTTTTATATAATCTAGACTGGGAAGTGACTTGAAATATGCTGACTGCTCTTGACTAGCTAACTTGGGAACTTCTGCAACTCTTCATCTGGTTAATAAATAGATTGGAAATTCTTTTTTAAATTTGGTAACAGAAATTAGTTCCTACATTTAAGCACAGGAAGATCAGTGGGTTAAATCGGAGGACTTAATACCTTCGATTCTTGTTTTAATTGCTTCATTTGTTTAAAAATCTCCATTTCAGCTACTTTGCATGCCATATGATGAAAATGCAGTTTCTTTTTATTGGTTTGAGTTCTCCACTTGTGATTTTTTTTATTTAGTTTATATTGATGGTGTCTTGGCTAGTTCGTCCACACCTCGGACTCTTCCATCGAATATGTGTTACCCCTCATCAGCGTAGATACCAGATAATTATGCTTATCAAGGCTAAGACAGATAAAAAGAAAATCACTTAGTGTTTTTTGCCTTGTTCGTCTTTTTTTTTTTAAATCTTTTTTGGTAACCGTGCTACCTGGGTTAGCTAGCTTGCATGCACCTCGACTAATTCCATGGGATACCTGCTATCTCCCATCAGAGGTATCATGTAACTCTATCCACCAAGGTTTGAACAAGATAGAAAGAATCTCCTAGTATTTTTTGTCTCCACACCTAAGACCTCATCTAACTATTTCATTGACCACTAGGCCACACCCTTGGATAGTCTTTCTTGTGAATTATGTTCTTCGTGGTGCAATTTTGACTTGCAACGGGATTTTGTTAAATTGAAAGAGTCAAACTTGTCTAATTCCATTTGCTTTAGTGGATTTGACGATCTGCTAAAATGTGATCCCACTCAAAATGGTGCTCTTGAGAGAGTCATTAAGGGTAGTTATTTGGCAGTAGCGTAAATACGTATACGTCTAAGGTGCTTTTATTTGCTGAGAACAGTTATTTCTTTAATTCCAATGTATGCCAAGTTTGAAGCACGATAATTACCTAATTGTCGGATTAATTTCGAACACTAGTTTATAATTTTTTTACAAATAAATCGAACATCCTGGTTTGAGTTCTCGTACATGGTCTTCCGTTTAATATGTGTAAATATTTTGACATATGAGCTGAAAATGTTGACATGCAGAGGCTAGAGAATTTTGGAGATGAATCATCTATGGTTATGTAGATGCAGTTAACAAAATTCAGTAGATTTTTTTTTAAGTTACAAAATTCACTAGATCAAATAAAGTGAAAATACCATAAATTGTAATTTCATATATATCAAGCTGAAGAGCTTATATACATCAGTACATCATATCTAGAACTGAATCCATACTTTTATTCATATTCCTACCTGAACTATAATTTCCAACATGCAAAAGTATCAAGACTTTCGCATATACTTCATCTACCTATTAATTTATTTCAAAAGTAAAGCTCCTCTCACCCTCGAGATGGAACCACTTCATTCCTTCTATATAGTACAGTATGACTTTACTTGCTACAATTACATAATTCATCATAAATGTTTTTTATTTATGAATTTCATCGTAATTAAATAAATATGATGAAATGTTTTATACAGAATGGTGGTAGAAATTAGGTTGATGATAGTCAACGCTTGCCATAAGTTCGATCAGCAAATTCTTGACAAGCTTTTTCACAACCTCCAATAGTAGCACCTGGAACTGCTAGGCATGTTGGCATGCATTCTTTAGCCTTTTCTGAGAGTTCTGCTTTTGCTACATTTCCATGTTGGACCAATACAACTAGCATACAAAGGAGAAACAAAGTCGTCAATTGAATTTTTGCCATTATTTTTTTTTTTAGTGTTTGAAAAATGATTTTAGTTTTGAGACAAGAATACAATGAATTGTTTCTCAATCTATTTATAGCAATATACCTCAGAGGTAAGGGTAAGGTATTCCATTATTATCTCCTTATCTACTTCCCTCTCACAGGTCCTAAACAACCAATCTTACGTGGCATTCACACATTCTTTTTCAAAAAATTACTTTGAAAATGTTTTTTTTTTTAAAATTCTTTGATAATCTCTTTGTTCTGTGTCTGTTTCTCATATGTGATTTGACCACTTTCGTTGGAAAAGAAATGAAGGAAGGGGAAGAAAAATTAGGAAAATTGATAGTAGTTGTATTTTTAAACAAATTTCGTATTCGTACTTCCTCCGTTTCAATTTATGTGAACTTAATTCTTTTTTAGTCCGTTCTAATTAGAATGATCTTTTTATAAATTTGGGAACAATTTAACTTAAACTTCTAATTTTACCCCAAGTTAGAAACTTTTATAGCCACAAAAATATTTTATCATATTTAACACCACAATTTTTAAAAGAGTAATAGTCATACAAATGCTATAACTTGTTTAGAACCATAAATTAAAATATCTTTATTTCTTTCTCAAATTTCATGTACAATTAAATAAATTCACATAAATTCAAATAGGCTATTCAGAGAGTTTTNCCCATATCATGTGCCTAATACACAATACATACTTTCACCGGTCCCTTAACCGTAATGATACACTCTCTGGGTTTTTTTTTCACAAACTAGCTTCTCCACTGTCTCGTCATATGATCTTCATCTCCACATATCCTTTCCCGATCAACCATCCTTACCTGACTTATACTGGATCTGGAAGTTAAACATTCCACCAAAACTCAAAATTTTCCTCTGACTTCTTCTCCTACAACGCTTCCCCATAACCTCCTTCTTAGTCGCCATTAATATTCTTCGTGCACCCAACTGCCATTCATGTCCACAAGTTCCTAAAATACTCCCACACCTATTTTTCTAATTAATGTCCGAATACACATCACATTTGGTCTTTCTTCAACATCCCCTACCAACTACCAGTTTCTCATCCTCGCTCAAGATTCATTGTGCCACCCCACATGAACCTTTTACCTATTACGGTATTGATGTTCCCACATCGCTCCTGGTTCCTTTTATCCTCTGGCATATTTGGAAAATTAGAAATGATAACCTTTTCAACAACCTCCACAACCCAGTTTACGCCCCAACCATCCTCTTCCATGTTATCGAATTTCACTACTTATCTCATAGCACCTGTCCTCCTTCTACTCAACGACTCCTCTAATTCTCAAACGATGCAAGCCTCTACTGGAGGAATTACCTGCGATCATCGAGGATAGTAAATCAGAGGATTCACTATGCCTACTATATGTTCTACTGCTTTAGAATCTGAACTAAGAGCTCTCCTCTTAGGTCTCCAGATTGCTAATGACTCACTTCTTCTACCCTTATGGAATGAAACAGACTCGCAGGTACTTTTCTCTATGATCTGCAATGGTAATGATGTATAGTCACATCATATTTTTTTATTGCAGGACCTTACTTCACCAGCTGCGGACAGTCACACTTGACCATATCTATAAGGAGGCAAACGGCGTGGCAGACGCACTAGCAAAACATTGAATGCTCCTAATGTTGAATATGTCAAAAGTTCATCCCACATCGGTGGGGGACTTTATTTAGAGGAGAATTTCACCCTATAAAAGAAGGCCTAATGTTTAGGATTTAAACACACCTCTCATTTGCCTTCTTATCTTCTTAAGGCATTTGTATCTTCTCTTTTTAGTATTATTTCAATTGTATTTTTGGAGTGGAATAAAATATTGGTTGTGTCCGAGGAAGTAGGTAAAATTGGCTGAACCTCGTAAATTTTGGTGTTCCTTTTATTGTTGCTTTATTGTCTTATTTATTATTTGGTGGATGTCATAATTTTTGGTATAGTAGTTGTGACTCATT